ACACACACACACACACACACACACACACACACACACACACACATACACATACACATACACACACACACACACTTACGGGTCACGGGTTTAGACAGAAACTGGACATTACGCAGGTCACTGCTGTGCTCCAACATCAACATGTTGAGTTTCTGGGAACAACAAACACCTGAGAAAGGTCAAAGGTCATTTCTAAACTACAACCCACTTCCTCTACAGTGACATTAYTAAACACATCAATAAAAACTGGTTTGTGTCATTAACAGTGGAACATCACAATCAAGTTCAACTTTTAAACTACGGAACGGTTCACAAATTTAAAAAATAAAATATAAACTGGAATCTTTGTTCAGTCTGTACAGCCTCGGTCAGCAGGTCAAAGGTCAAAGGTCAAAGGTCATGGCCTCTTCTCTCCAAAAATAACTTATGTTTGTTTCATCTGAAGGATCCACAAGACTTCTGGACCAGAACCAGACCAGAGGACAGATGTTTACCCAGAATGCACTGCAGCTGTCAGCACGGAGGAGGAGGGTTGATGGTTTGATGACCAAAGGAAGGAGTYAGATGTGAGTCCACCTGTCTGAGGTCCTGGTCTGGACTTAGTTTTTCTCTCACTGGTTCTGGGTTTTACATTTTCTYCCATAAATATCAACACAGTTCAATATGTTAACCTTTGAAATCAAAACAAATAAATACATTGTATGATGTCCTGACATAAAATCATTATAATTTATTAAACTTAAATGTTTTTCATTCAGATTAATGTCTGTCTTGTATCTAATTTGCTCGTGAATGTTATAAAACAAGCTTTGAAGCTGGTTAAAGACAGGTTATCAGTTCTGAGGAAGCTCACAGGACGTTTTAAAAYGAGGCACTTGGCTTGTGTGTCACAAACAACAGAGTTTAACAYTTAAACAAACATTSAAGCAGCTTCAGRTCTGTTAGCTTTTCCCAGCAGAGAAGCTAACATGATGACCCAAAACAAACAGTTTTAAGGTGGAATTAAAGCTCTGTGGTGCCTTAAATACAGCCCGTTTGAAATGTGAGATCAAGCGCTTTGCCCTTACCGTATGACTCGTTYATTAAAACCTTTATTTAATTAGTTAACGACCTCATTTTAGAGGTTAAAATGAGACAAGCTAACTCACCTGACACACTCCAACGACGGGTTGACGTTGAGGCGGCGGAAACGCGCCTGCGTCAACATTTAGCTCTAAATCCTCCTTATAATCACCCTGAAAAACACAAACACTTTSAAACATTTTATTACCTATTAAAACTGAAAAAAAAAACACAAGTATCCTCAAAATATGAAATCAGTTGAACATAAAACTCWCATTTCTGTTCAGGCGCTGCTTCGTCGCACATGTTAAGGGTCCTAAAGCGGAAAAGGAGCGCAGTGTTGTTAGCAACATCATGGCTGCTTCCACACGAGCTCAGGTGCTTTCTCTGTACAGGATGATGCTGAAGGAGAGCAAGAAGTTTCCTTCATACAACTACCGGTAAGAGATGAAATGTGTGCGGGCTGAGAGGTCACTCTGACCGGTTCAAACCGGCTGTCAGGGCCGGAGGAGCCGATAAAACCCGCAGCTAACCTTAGCTTTACTTTATTATCCTTCTGGTTTGTGTTGCTGGAAGCTGACGAAACATTGCATAAGAAGGTGGTTAACTGGAAAGAAAACATGTTTTATTTGTCATTGTTGGTGTGTATTTCTATGATTTCTATGATTATTTTTTAAACAGACATTTTAGTTAAATTGTAAACAAACAGCATCAAATCCCTCCACAGCTGTTTTGTTTGCAGATGATTTTAGGAGACAGACGGACAGTTAGCTCCAAACCTGTTGTTTTTGGAGTTTRTTGCATAAACAAGGTTTATTTTCACTTTTTAAGAGCCGCCAGTATTCAGTCAGAACAGTTTCAGCTTCTCCCGTCTTCAGGAGGAGATTAAAGACTTCATTCAGTGTCGATGTAAGGATTTATTTTATTCACTTGTTTTTAAATTATGGTGGGGTTGGCCCAGGTTGTTGTCTGACAAAAACAACTAATATTTTACTCACGGTCTTCTGCATGCAAAGGTTTAAACTGTCTCCACTGGTGGACAGGGACACGGTGGTCAGCAGTGGCGGCTGGTGGGTTTCTCTCCAGGAGGCTACAAACATAAAATAAACACATSTCAAAAAGCAATCAAACTTTACTAAGTTGTATCACGTCAGTGTATTTATTAAACAAATGAAAATAACAGAGAAGCATTACAATGTCATGTAGTGTTTTATTTTTTGCACATAAATTTTGCCCTTCTGTAACAAAAGCTCATTTCTTCGTGACTCGGAGTCGGAAGTGACTCAACACGATCATGAGTGAAATGAAAGTTTGTCCATTAATAACTATAAAATATTTATCTTACACAGCTAAAACATACGTAGATATTTCTACTAAACATTTCATTTTGTTATTTTATTTTTTGATTTTTATGTCATCTAGGAGGGGCGGCGCCCTCTATTGACCAGTCCCCACTGGTGGACAGGGACACTGGYGTTCCAACATGTTCTTGAGTTTTGGTGGTCCCAAGTTGTTTCTGAACATCCAAACAAWTTCCTGTTCATCTGTGGAGCAACGTTTGTGTGTTTTTCAGCAGAAACTGTCAACTTCAGTCAGTTTTAATCTCTAACAGTAACAGGAAGTTATTCRACCTTCTAGAACTTTCAGAAGAACTGAGAGACCAATTTAAATAAACGCTTAAAAAGTCTATAATTCATCTGTTGTTTGTAGAGGAAACATCTGACTGCAAATCTAAACATCAAATGTTTTAAAACACAAAACAATGTGGATTTAAATGCTGAAATGTTAGGTAAAGCTAGGGCTGCACAATATATCGAAAATGTATCGTCATGGCGATAATAGCCTGTGCAATATGCATATCAAACTATAAACTGCAATAAATGGTTGAATCTAAAGTTTGCATTTATGTGTTTTGTCATTCAGATGGAAGCTTGAAATATTTATCTAACCAAATGGAGCCCTTCGTGTATTTGGTCAATTGGTTGTCGTTGGTAAAACGGGACCAGGACTCGTCTCGTTGGTAAAACGAGACCAGGACTCGTCTCGTTGGTAAAACGGGACCAGGACTCGTCTCGTTGGTAAAACGGGACCAGGACTCGTCTCGTTGGTAAAACGGGACCAGGACTCGTCTCGATGGTAAAACGGGACCAGGACTCGTCTCGATGGTAAAACGGGACTCGTCTCATTG